CCCACGCCATGGCTGGCGACTCGGGAGGCTGCTGGGCATCTCAACCTGCCGCTGCATCAGCCCGCTCTGGCATCCTTTAGTGGTTTCGGCGATAAGTGCCTCCCAGCGCTGCACAACTAACATCTGTCGCTTGCCATTTGTTTCTTCTCTCAGCTTGCTGGGGCAGAAGACGGGGCGATGGGAGAAGACCGCAAGGTCTCAAAAGGCAGGCTGGGCTCTGCTCGCCGCTGAATGGGGAGACGCTCTGCGCAGCGCGAGCCCGGGCAGCCCCTGGCCCCGGCAGCCTCGGGCACGGGTCCCGCTGCCAGCAGCTTGCAAGCGAAAGCCAGAATAAGCGCAGCAGCCCCTTTGATCTCCTGCTCGTCCTCTTCCCGTGCAATGCCCCCACATCCAGCCTCCTTCTGCTGGGGGAATTCTTGCCCGGTGAGTTCACTGAAGTGGCGTCATGAATGCTCACCAATCAAGCTGATGAGTTATCTCATGATGTCACTGAGGGCGTCCCACAAAAAGGAGCACGATGATACAGAAGAAAGTTTGTTTACAGGTGATTGGCTTTTTCATCAAGACTGATGGAAGAGGTACAAACTGCCTGTGTATTTATACAGTTGTACTGGGATGGAAGTTTTTCAATATTTTCAGTAAGATAAGATCAAGAGATCTGCTAATTACTACACACTGCCGTAACAAACACCAAGATGTAATTTCGTATCTTAAGAAAACTCAAAGCATGACACTCGAGAGAAAAATAAAGCGTGCACTGTCATTTATTAAACTTTCAGAGCCCTGTAAAAGGGCTTACCATTCTTGATTCACTTGGCATTGGAAAATTACCAATTTTACAGTACAGGCAATGTACATCTTTCGACATTGAAGGTGACGTTAAGCCACCCCAGCCGGTGGCTTTGAGTGTTGAGTGGGGATTTCTCCCCAATCCCCACAGCTGTTGCACTTTCTTGGCACACCTGGCCGACTCAAGCGGTTCCTGTACGGAGAGGCGGGGCCAAAGCCCCTTTCCCGGCCACTCCTGTCCTTCCAATGCACATGACACATTCAAACTACAAAGACGCTTCCCGTGCAGAGTGAGATCTTGCAGATAAACCCTAAGACATAAAACCAGGCTTATTCCTGCGGCCCTGCTGGAAAAGTTTGGCTCTTTTGCCACATTAGTTAAAATCACTGCACCTCTTTGTGAATTGGACTATTTTCAAGTATTCCCATGTAACCGTGAATCTAACTTACCTGTGCTTAACAGCAGCAAAACTTTCATTACAGTGTACTCCTCAAAGCTAAGCTGCAAGCGAACAAACTGCAGACTGATCTGGTGCATCCCCTGGCACAGTTCAAACATAGCAGACTGGCGCATCCGTTCCCTGCAAAGACAAAGAAACAAAATCCAGAGGATAAATACGGGTGAGCGCAACACGCACGGGGCAGCCCACGCTTGAGGAAAGCGAGGTGTGACCTGGAAACCAAGCACTGAGCGCGCAGAGGTCAGGAAGACACACCGCAGCTGCAAAGTTCAGGTTAGGTAAGGGAGCTGGGGACTACGGAGGCGAAGCTGGAGCCCTGCCAGCCCTGGAGGGCAGCCTGGTCCCCGTGCTCCAAGGCTGGCAGAAAAACCCACTGCCTGTGGGTTTCGGGGGACCTGGGCATCGCCTTTGCTCAACTCCTACGCCATCCACAATGGATGGCTGAGTTCACTTCGCTACCCAGCAGACCCCAGGCAGCATTAACATTCACCCCCCTAAAAGGAACAGAAACAAATGTAATCTGAGTTTTACATAGTGACGATGTTAATGAACTGGCAAAAATGTTTTAAAATGTGTTTGACTTGTCAGCGTTTGTTCAACTCTGTCCTGGCTGATGGAAATAAGCCTGCTGAAGGGGTCAAAACTGGTGCAATAGGGGAACCTACACCCATTGCATGCATTTTTTTAAATGATACGTGCCCCATCAGTTGACATACAGGTGGAAACAGGTTTCAGAAGTGCCTGGTGCAGAGATGAGCTGGGGAAAGGATGGCCAAGGAGGACTGACAGCCTCACACCTACAGCCTGCACCACTCAGGGCAGTCAGCCCCGGCCCCAGCCCAGCAGCCTCCAAGGCTGCCTGCAGCCACAGACAACGGGAAAACCCACGGCTAAGAGCTCCGCTGCCTACTGTGCACGGTCGGGTCCACAAGCCAGCAGGGCCCCGGGATCAGGGATTTCCACCGTGCCAGCAGACATCTTGACTCTGCTCATCCTGAATAGCACTGTCCCGTAAAAATATGGCTGGCAGGTCTGGAAAACAGGGAAGTGGCTTAACAAAAATAAAATAAAATGCATGAGTTCGTGTTACTGCCTTTATGTCTACTGAGGAGTCTGAAGTTAAGAAATGATTGGGATGACCACTGCCTCAGCCAGCACCACCTATGCATCCTTCCCAAGTAACCTCCATTTCAAATCTCTGATTACTCCTTTTCCTGAAAATACAACAGGTCTAGCTCCAAGGATGAAAGTGTAGGAACAACAAGGAGAAAAGATTTTCCAGTCACGGAAGTTCTCATTAATATACGACACTGGACCTCCTATGGGGAATTCTTAGTCAAATTGTTGCAATGGTCTCTTATTTGAACACTGAAATATTCAAAAATTCTGTATGTTTTTTCCCAAAATAATAATCTGTCTGGAATAAAGGAGTATATAAGACGACAAACTTACTAATTAATACAGATTTTTGCCTGTTAAATCATAAAATAATAAGGACACATGACTTGTATCCAGTTTACTCTTTTTTTTCTTTAAATATGCTTTGATACATTTAGCTTCAGACCCTCTCTCTCTTCTCTGAGGTAACCCCAGGCTAACATATCCTGCACAAGTTTCAGGCAGAATTAGTTAGGATTTTGCTATGCTTCTAAAGCCGCCATCCCAAACCACAACAGCTACAGCAAAGAGTCACTGAGAACTGCCTGTCTCATTTTGAAACTACGATATATATGCGGGTATTTAGACAAGGCGCTATAATTGTTCAGTGACCACTACTTTTTTTTTTTAATTGCTCAACAATAATTGTCTATATTTCTTCAAACATTTTTTCACATAATTGGAGAATTGGATGAAGTTCAGCTAATTATTTTAACCAAGCAACCGCCTTTTCAAATATACAAATTGGCTGGTGAAAGAGAAGAATCATACTGTGTGCAAACAAAGACTGACGTAATCTTCCTGGTGTTGTATTTCACTACTGCCAGAGCAGATTTTATTTTCCTCCTTAATACTAATAAAGCAGACTCCCCATTGTTATATGGGCTCTGCACTTTTCTCCTGCTCCACCCTCTTCTTGAGACTAAGAACTTCCAGCTTCTTTTTTTTTTTTTCTTTAATTTAATAGTAGTAGTAGTAATGCCATGTTTATTTATTTTTATTATGCATCATGGACTGCAGGGAGAAAACGAATAGAAGAAAATAGTCTTTGAGCGCTTTGGACGGTGACTGAAATACCACTTGGCCCTCTGTTTGAGAAGAGCAGCCTCCGCTGCTGGAGCACGCAAGCCCAGTTGTGTGCTGCAGAGGACTTACAGATGCCACTTGCACCCTCAACGCCGGTCGCATGCTATGCATGCACACAGAGTGACCCTGAGAAACTGGGATCAGGTGAAACAGAGAAAGATTTGCAGAATTAAAAGCTGTCAGATGCACACAAACAGGCGTTTCTGAAGCTGCTGTGCCTGGCGTCCCCCTCCAGCCCTGGGCCTGCCCGAGGCTGGGGGGCACCACGGAGGCTGGTGGCCACCATCCAAGGCTTGTGGCCACCATCCAAGGCTTGTGGCCAATCCAGCACAGCAGCACCTGGATCTCTCCTGGTGTTTGGACGTGCCCTTAGCATGGACGAGCGAGTGTGCCAGGGATGGGTGGTCCTTCATGTTTGGCCACTGCATGACTCAGCCTACCCCACTTTGGGGACATCACCCTAAACCAGCCCGAGGTCCTCCTGCCTGTCGGGTTGTTATTGCCCAGAGACCAAACGGCTGCAGGCACCTCTGAGCTGACCCAAAGAGAGCTGGCGAAAAAAGACCCCAAAAGACCCCAGGGAGTGATCTTCCTGCTCCCCTCCCTCTTCCCAAAATTACCACATCCAGGTCTAGGACACAGATAATGGTGGCTCCTAATTGACCTCTCCCAGGAGGCTTAAAGGGATACGTAGTAAAGGTGAAAGGCAAATGATTAATAAGGGACATTTCTATTTTAAAAAATGCATTTTAAGGTGTATCTCAAGACTAGCAGGATTCAAAACAAGAACAGTCTATTATATCCATTTTTACTTTTGCAGGACACCAAAGTTAGTTCCTCCAGCCTCAGAACATAAAGCAGCTGCCACCATCCCTGCCTGCATTTGACCTCCGCAGACATGAGAAGCGCCAGACCTTTCATCCGATACCACAAGCCACACAGCAAGTAAAACGAAACATTTTGAGGTTTTGTCTCAGGTTTCTTATGCTTTCACTAAACAGCGTGGCAAAACACTCTCTGTGACAGCTAACCTGAAAGTATCCTGACTCAAAACCTTTTTTTTTTTTTTTTTCATTGCATTGCACTTCTGGTGACATTTCAGTTTTTCTCTCTTATGCTTTTCTTCGTATTTATTTTGCTTTTGTATGATTGCCTAAATAGAAGAATTTTAGTAAAAGTCAGGGTTTTTTTGGTTGGGTTTTTTTTGTCTGTCTTTTAAATATTTAGTCTTTTATCTACTTACAAATATTGATCTCTAGTTTACCTTCAAGGAAAACCTGGTTGGTTGTAGCGAGATAAAATTATACACAGAACTAGTCACTAAGTAGTTTGTTTAACATACAGCAAACCTGTAATTTCAAATCAGTTTCCCTCCCGAAAAATCAATTCAGTTGATTTAGTAATTTATTTACACATTATTACTAACTACAAATTATGTTAGTTAATTCATGACTCTGTTTAATGTAAGATAAGCATTTTGTCGGACTTTAACATTATTCAACTTTGCATTTGATTTTTAAACCACACCGTGTAAAGTAAGAGGGTACAGAGCTTTTGGAAAATTCAGATGCTGACATCGCAGGTATCCCAATACCATGAGAGTATCAACAAAATAAAGCAACAGAAATGGCTTATATATTAAAAGAGATGGGGCACATAGAAATTAGGGCACGTCAACATAACATGAACAAAATTTTTTCTTCCTTCCCAAATGCCTCATCTAAGAATAAATACCATCAAGTCATCACACATGCCATTACCACCATGGGGAAAAATGAAAGCAAACTTCTATGTTGCCTTCATCCCCTGCCTTTTTTTTTAAAGGGGGGGAAAAAAAAAAAAAAAAAAAAAAAAGGCAAAACCTAACCAACCGAAAGCAGTTCTACCTCTGACATAGCATATAAACGTCTCAATATGGAAAATGGAGAATGTGAAGATCTGGAATATAAGGGCATGTATCTTTATGGGGACATTTAAGAAGGTAAGTACTTTTAAGTAATAAAAGGCGTGGAGCCAAAGCTCTGAATCCGCTGTGTGGATATGCATTCAAAAGTGGTGTCATTAGCTCAGTTTAGCTTAATCCTCCTTCATAATAATATGCTTTAAACTTTACACCTTAAGTTAATCCATCTTAAGTTCCCCGAGTGTCTCCTTACAGGCTTAATTTAATGCCTGGCTCACATTCTGCCTGACCTTTCCCGCAGCCGCAATACTGTGGGCAGGCAGAGCGGCTACAACCAGCCCATCCCGCCCAGCTACTGCTCTGCCCAATTTCTACCTGCTCCTGGAGAGCCTCTTTGGCCACAGGTACCTTGCGTTAACTGAGTTGCTCACCACATCCCCACTGGAACTGAACTGCTGCTGCTCTTCCCCCCTCCCCCCAGGAGGAAGGCGAGGTGCGTACCTCTGCTGGCAAAGCCCTCCACGGCACCTCAACCACCTTGGTGGTAAGAGGGGGTTTGTTCCTGATGTTGGGTTTCTCTCAATGAACTGCAGCAAACCTGTTCCTAGTTGAGACACTCCCTGGTACTTTCCCTGAGTACTGTCGCCTTCTTTTTCTCCCCACTTGATCTGGGATCTCCCCCTAACCCCACGCAATCTCTATGTCTCTATCTCTGCCACCCTTATTCCCAAATTGACTCCAGATCTCCTATCTTCCTTCCACGGGCAGGCTACATGGAGACAAGCTCTGTGGTACCGGCCCAACACCTCAACTTGTTTCACCCTCAACATCTACCCATGGAGAGTTGAATACGCGGGGGAGAAAGTGGCAAACCAACCCAGCTCCTCCTCTTCCCCTACTCCGTGGAAGTAGCCATCCTTTTACACAGTGGCAAGTGACGAGGCAAACGGCTTGAGCACCTGGCCAAAATGGG